CTAGTCTCAGCTGCGAGGAGATGCTGCTCGAGGAGGTCAACAGTGAGGGAGGTGGGGTCGAGGGTGAGGAAGTGGTCCCTGACAGAGCGAAGGGAGTCAGGGAGGCGAGTGACTATGAAGTAGAGGGTGATGAACATGGGGGGCTGGTTCGTGGGAAGGAACTCAGCAGGGACGGCAGCGCGGTAGCGAGTGTCGCTAGTGCGCAGGTGGGTAACCAGGTCCGCTACTGTGGCAAAAGCCGACAGCTCAGGGAACAGGTAGGGCAGTAGCAGCCTGCCAATAGCAGCAGTGGCAGGGGAGGAGTAGCGAGCAACGACAGCGTCGTACAAGGCCTGTGCTGTCCTGTGCTCGCCAAAGTGAGCACACTCGGTCGCGGGCAGGTGGTTGCGAATGGCCAAGCGGGCAGTAGCGTCACGAGACAGCCACTGGGAACGGGTCGAAACGTCAGCTGTGGCGGGAGGGGCTGGAGCGGCACCAGACACGTGGTCAAACAGTGAGACACTGTCCCGACTATCGCTCAGTAGGTACAGTTGCAGATCGTCGTGCCACGTGTCAAATGCTACAGGTCTGCCCTCCGGGTCGAACGGGAGAACTCGAAGTGACGGCATAGTGGCACAGGACTCAGGAGCAGCAGTAGTAGTAGCTATGGGGCGGAGCCGAGGGGCCTAGGGGCCGAGGGGCCAAACAAGAGGGCCAAGGGGCCTAGTAGCCTAGGCTAGGTGCCGAGGGGCCGAGGGGTGGGGCCGAGGGGCCAAACAAGGGGCCGGGGGGCCTAGGGGGCCGAGGAGCCAAGCACACAGGGCCGAGAGGTGGGGCCGAGGGGCCAACAAAGGGGCCGGGGGGGGCCTCGAGGGGCCGAGGGGCCAAACACACGGGGCCGAGGGGCGGGGCCGAGGGGCCAAACAAGGGGCCGGGGGGTCTGTATCTCAATTAGGGCCGAGGGGCCTAGGGGCCGCGGGGCCAAACAAGAGGCCGGGGGGCCTAGGGGGGGGCCGAGGGGCCAAACACAGGGGCCGGGCGCAGGGCTAGGTACGGGGCCAGGCGTGGGCTAGGTACGAGACCTGGCGTTGGGCAGGGACGGGGCCGGGCGCTGGGCTCTGTATTGGGGCCGAGGGGCCTAGGGGCTGAGGGGCCAAACAAGGGGCCAGGGGGGCCTAGGGGGGGCCGAGGGGCCAACCATACGGGGCCGAGGGGCAGGGCCGAGGGGCGGGGCCGAGGGGCCAAAGTAGGGGCCGAGGGGCCTAGGGGCCGCGGGGCCAAACAAGGGGCCGGGGGGGCCTAGGGGGGGCCGAGGGGCCAAACACACTGGGCCGAGGGGCGGGGCCGAGGGGCGGGGCCGAGGGGCGGGGCCGAGGGGCCAAACTAGGGGCCGAGGGGCCTAGGGGCCGTGGGGCCAAACAAGGGGCCGGGGGGCCTAGGGGGGCCGAGGGGCCAAACACACGGGGCCGAGGGGCCAAACAAGGGGCCGGGGGGCCTAGGGGGGGCCAAGGGGCCAAACACATGGGGCCGGGCGCAGGGCTAGGTACGGGGCCGGGCGCGGGTTAGGAACGGGGCCAGGCGCTGGGCAGGTACGGGGCCGGGCGCTGGGCCTGAATGTGGGCCGAGGGGCCTAGGGGGGGGCCGAGGGGCCAAACACACGGGGCCGAGGGGCCAAACAAGGGGCTGGGCGTGGGTGTTGACGGGCCGGGGCTAGGTACGGGGCCGGGCGCTGGGCGAGGGACTGGGCCGGGCGCTGGCGTCGACGAGCGCGGGCTAGGGAAGAGGGGCCGGGCGCGGAGCTAGGTACGGAGCCGGGCGCTGGGCTAGGAACGGGGCCTAGCGCGGGCTAGGTACGGGGCCGGGCGCGGGTGTCGACGGGGTGCTGGCTAGGTACGGGGCCGGGCACGGGTGTCGACAGGGCGCGGGCTAGGTAAGGGGCCGGGTCGCGGGCTTGGTACGGGCTGGTCGCGGGCTAGGTACGGGCCGGGTCGCGGGCTTGGTACGGGCTGGTCGCGGGCTTGGTACGGGCTGGGTCGCGGGCTAGGTACGGGCCGGTCGCGGGCGTCGACGGGGCGCGGGCTAGGTACGGGGCCGGGCGCGGGTGTCGACGGGGAGATCGCGGGCTAGGGGCACGGGCGTGAGACAGAGCCGAGCGCGGGCTAGGTACGGGCCTATCGCGGGCTAGGTACAGGCCAGGCGCGGGCAGGAGACTGGGCCGGGCACAGGCTAGGTACGGGCCTATCGCGGGCGCGGTACGGGCGGGGCGCGGGGCTAGGAACGAAATAGCAGGTGGTGGGCCCAATAGTAACCTACTCTAATACCATGTTAGATAGTAGCGAGAATGACGAGAATGGTTTACTAGGAAGCAAGGAAGGGTACAAGTACAATGTCGAGAGAAATTGTGTACCCCCTAAGGCTAAACCCACTATAGCCTAGACAACTGTAAACACATAAACACATAAGTTTGACAGAAACTCTATATCTGGTAGCAAAAATCAGATGAATTGAAATCGCTCGTCTGTCAAATTAGATGAAAAAAAAAAAGTGTCTGAAAATCAGACCATCAGACCCATTTGGTCTGATAACGAGAGCCCTGGACCCAACCTCGCGATTCGGTTGGTAACTCGCGCTTCGGACCAGACCCCCGCCTCGACAATTCCCAGCCTCAGCACTAGGCCCGTAACGCACCCCATTTTCACACATTACCGCTACCACTTGGGCTTCGCTATATATTCTTCGCTCATTTTTCGCTCGATGTACTATTTTGCTTCGATAGTGCAATTTTTGCTCGCTCGCTCCATTGCACTCGTAACACCGTATTCCCCCGGATAAAAGACCCCCCCATAATAATGTAACCGGGTCTTTAATACGGAGGGGGGGGGGGGGGGGGGGGGGGGGGTATTTTATCACGGGCTGTTTTCGTTATACCCCCCATTTGGGGCGAAATCATTACAAGACCCCCCCCCCCCCCCCCCCCCCAAACCTCAGAAGTGTTTTTAACATGAAAATATCAGTCCCTGTTTCTGTTTCTGTTCCGAGGCGGTCTGAGACAATGCATGCAGTGGACGTTGTACACGTGCGTCGCCCCGTGATCTAGCGTCCTGGTTACCACAAAAAACGCAGCACAACATTACCGTCATCGCCCGGATAGTAGACAGTATTGAATAGTGGACAGGGGTTGTCTATTATCCGGGTGTCTCTTATAAACAGGCTAGCCTCATTATAAGACACCTATTTGTGTGTACGAGATAAGACATATGAGTCGTATAATCGAAACTGCAATATATTATAGTGAAACTTGAAACACCGCGTACATTTTTACCCTTGCGATGCGCGAATTCTTCCACGTGCTGACTCAGGTACTACGGTACCAAATTTGCCTCTGCAAGTATTCTCCATGACGTGGCTTCTCGAACAATGGTTACTGAAGTGGCACCTTCGCAACTCTCTTCAAGATGTGTGAAAAAAATTCTAAGTAGTTTAAAAAGTTTCCATTTATAAGACTTATAAGACACCCAACACCCCCCCAAATACAAGATAACCCAAGCATTTTTTCTAGTGTACGAGATAAGACATATGTCAAACTTATATCTACTATAGTCTATTTAGGCTGTAGTGGGGTAGTTCTTAGAGGGTACAACACTTATGTGTTTTCTACTTGTACCCATCTCATTTCTAGTTCATTCATTCTTTCGTCAATTATCTCACATGGTATAGAGCTAGTTTCGAGTTTTTTTAAAAGGGCCCATCATTGAAAATTTTCTTACCTGCCTGACGCGCGCGTCGCGCCTCCCCTTCGAGGCCCGTAGCGGCCCCTGCGCCTGCCCTTAGAGCCAGCGCCGGCCCCTGCGACTGCCCTTAGAGCCAGCGCCTGCCCGCAAGGCCCCGTAAGGCCCCGCGCAGCCCCGTAAGGCCCCGTAAGGCCCCGTCAGGCCCCGTTCACGGCCCCGTAAGGCCCCGTTTACGGCCCCGTAAGGCCCTGTAAGGCCCCGTAAGGCCACGTCAAGCCCCGTTTACGGCCCCGTAAGGCCCCGTAAGGCCCCGTAAGGCCCCGTCAGGCCCCGTTAGCGGCCCCGTCAGGCCCCTTCAGGCCCCGTAAGGCCCAGTCAGGCCCCGTTAGCGGCCCCGTCAGGCCCCGTAAGGCCCCAGTCAGGCCCCGTAAGGCCCCGTCCTGTCCCGGCCCTACTGCGACCCAGCCCCGGCCCTACTTCGGCTCTGTCGCGGCCCTGTTCCGGCCCTGCCCCGGCCCTACCCCAACCTGTCGTGGCCCTGCTGCGGCCCTGTCGCAGCCCTGCCCCGGCCCTACTCCGGCCCTGTTGCAGCCCTGGCCCGGCCCTCGCCCCGGCCCTGTCTCGGCCCTGCCCCGGCCCTGCTCCTGCACTGCCGCGGCCCGGCCCCGGCCCTGCCCCGGACCTGTCGCGGCCTCGCCCCGGCCCTGTCCCGGCCCTGCTCCGACCCTGCCCCGGCCCTGCCCCTGCCCTGCTCCTGCACTGTCGCGGCCCTGCCCCAACCCGGCCCCGGATCTTTTGCGGCCCGGCCCCGACCCTACCCCGGCCCTACCCCGGCCTTGCCCCTGGTAAGAGCGCCGCCCTGCCGAGCCGCCCTGCCGAGCCGCGCCGCCCTGCCTAGCCTGCTTAGCCGAGTTGCACTGCTGCTGCTGCTAGCCTGCTGCTGCTCCTGCCATGGCTAGTCTCAATGTTCTTACCTTTGGTGCTGAGGGTCGAGCTGTTGACTTTGAGGTCTGGCTAGATGATCTGCAGCTTTTCCTACAGTGCGATAGCAAGGATGGCCTCTCACTGTTCGATCTCACGTCTGGCGCCTCTACTGCCCCTGCTGCTGATGCTGACAGTACTGTTCGCTCCCAGTGGCTCACGCGCGATGCTGCTGCTCGCCTTGCTGTGCGTAATCACCTGCCGTCTACTGAGCGCGCGCACTTTAGTCAGTACAAGAGTGCTAGGGCTCTGTACGACACTGTAGTTGCACGCTACTCCTCCCCTACCACTGCTGCCCTCAGCCGCCTCATGCTGCCGTACCTTTTTCCTGACCTTGCCGCCTTTGCCACAGTTGCTGACCTAGTTGCTCACCTCCGCACTAGTGACGCTCGCTACCGCGCTGCCCTTCCCACTGAGTTCCTTCCTACGAACTCCCCCCCCATGTACATCACCCTTTACTACCTAGTCACCCGCCTCCCTGACTCTCTCTCCTCAGTCAGGGATCACTTTCTCTCCCTTTGCCCCACCGAGCTGACTGTCGACTTGCTAGAGGAGCGCCTTACTGCAGCTGAGAAGAGTATCTTAGCTGTCGGTGCTTCTCGCGGCGACCGTCGCACCCCCTTCTTTGAGGGGTGTTCCCCTGTCCCCCTTCTCCCCTCTGTTGCCTCTGCTGCTGCTGTCGACCTCGTTGGCACTGAGGAGGTCGGCGCTGCGTCTGCCCCTAGTGGGCGACGCCGCACTGGCAAGGGCAAGGGAAGCAGGGGTGGTGGAGGGGGCGGTGGAGGCAGCGGTGGGGGAGGTGGAGGAGGTGGAGGTGGTGGTGGGGGTGGTTCCGGGAGTGGGGGCGTCGGTGGCGGCAGTGGAGGCCGTGGCGGCGGTGGCGGAGGAGGTGGCGGCGGCGGCAGCGGTGGTGGAGGCAGCGGAGGAGGTGGTGCTGGTCGCGGTGCAGCCACGCAGCGTGGAGGCCTTGGTGGCTGCTAGCGTCAGCAGCAGCTGCGCACCCGTGAGACCCCGTCTGTTCAGCAGCTTCGTGAGTGGTATGCTGGGCGTGGGAGGTCTGGGGGTGCAGGTCCCTGCACATACGTTCTTCGCACCGGCACTCGTAGTGGGGAGGTGTGTGGTCTCCCACACACCACGCAGCGCTGCTTCGGCCGCTTGACTGACGCGTGGCGTACCCAGTTTCCTGACGCTGTTGAGCTTCCTCGTTGGCATGATCTGCTTCTGCAGAATGTGCCTATCTTTGATCTAGACTTTGATGCTATCCTTGCTGCCATGTATGCTCTTGCTGATATTACTGAGGGTGACTGTTACCTGCGTGTCCCGCCCGACCCGGGCACTGTGGCTGCTGCTCTAGGTGCTAGTGCGGCTGCTGCTCTAGGTGCTAGTGCGTCTGCTGCTCCAGGTGCTGGAACGTCTCCTCTCTCTGGTACTGCACCTACTGAGTCCTTTCACACTTTCACACTTGACTCTGGTGCTTCGCGCTCTTTCTTTAGAGACAGCACCACGCTCACGCCGCTCAGTCGGCCTGTTGCGGTCTCCCTTGCTGACCCCTCAGGGGGCCCAGTACTTGCACACTCCTCCACTGTCCTACCGTGTCCTGCGGCCCCGTCGGGCTTGCTGTCGGGACTCCACCTCCCCTCGTTCTCTACGAACCTGGTGAGTGGAGCTGACCTCCAGGACGCGTGGGTTGACCAGTTCACCCCTGGAGGTCAGCGTGTGACCCACTGCACTTGCTCTCGGACGGGCCGCCACCTGGCCACGTTCACCCGTCGGCCAGGGTCGAGTCTGTACACACTGACTACTGCACCTCCTCCGGTCTCTGCGTCTGGTCAGGTAGCTGCGTCCGGTCAGGTGTTTGCTGCCGCGTCCAGGTCTAGTCCTTCGTCTGCCCCCTGCTCGTGTCGTCCTTTGGCACACGAGACTCTCCTTTGGCACCACCGCCTTGGTCACCCCTCCCTGCCTCGTCTTCGAGGTATGGCCTCCCGTGCCCTTGTCTCGGGTCTACCCAGGTCCCTCCCTCCCCTTCCTCCGGGGCCTGCCCCCACCTGTGTTCCTTGTGTCGAGGGCCGACAGCGCGCCGCCCCTCACTCCTCGTTTCCTCCGACTGAGGCTCCTCTGCAGACTCTTCACATGGACGTGTGGGGCCCAGCCCGCGTCCGTGGACAGGGTCACGAGCGCTACTTCCTCCTGGTCGTTGACGACTACTCGCGTTACACCACACTCTTCCCCTTGCGCAGCAAGGGTGAGGTCCCTAAGGTGTTGATCGACTGGATCCGTAGTGCTCGTCGCCAGCTCAGTGAGAGTTTCGGCTCAGACCTTCCTGTTCTGCGTCTGCACTCGGACAGAGGCGGGGAGTTTTCCTCCGACCTCCTGAGAGCCTTCTGTCGTTCGGAGGGCATCCGCCAGACGTTCACGCTTCCGGCCTCCCCGCAGCAAAATGGGATTGCTGAGCGCCACATTGGCATGGTCATGGACGTCGCTCGTACGTCCATGATCCATGCGGCTGCTCCCCATTTTCTGTGGCCGTTCGCGGTTCAGTACGCGGCACATCAGATCAACCTTCAGCCTCGTGTCTCCTTGCCGGAGACCACACCTACTCTGCGGTGGACGGGGAAGGTTGGCGATGCGTCCGCATTCCGTGTCTGGGGATCTCGAGCTTTTGTCCGCGATACTACCGCGGACAAGCTGTCCTCCCGTGCCGTTCCTTGTGTCTTCCTTGGCTTCCCTCCTGACGCACCCGGGTGGCAGTTCTACCACCCCACCTCGCGTTGTGTTCTGTCCTCTCAGGACGTCACGTTCGACGAGTCGGTGTCGTACTACCGTCTCTTTCCCTACCGCACTGCCTCTCCCCCCCCCCCCCCCCGCCGCTCTTCCTCGCACCAGGTACTCCCCTGGTAGACCCCCTCCCCCCCCAGGGTCCTGCCCCCTCAGGTGTGTCCCAGGTAGACCCTACCGAGCCGGTCGAGGTAGATGTCGACTCAGGTGCTGCTAGGGGTGCTTACCCTGCGGGTGCGGGGACTGGGGGTGCTGAGACTGGGGGTGCTGAGTCTGGGGGTGCTGAGCCTGGGGGTGCTGAGTCTGGGGGTACTGAGACTGGGCGTGCTGAGCCTGGGGGTGTGGCGCCTGAGGGTACTGCGTCTGGAGGTGCTGAGCCTGCGCGTGCTGGGTCTGGAGGTGCTCTAGGTGTCCCGTCGCGGCGGGAGCCCCTCTCTCCACAGCGGCTTCGTGAGTGGTACTCTCGGCGCTGTCGAGGTGCTGCTGGTGCTGGAGCTGCTGGAGGTGCTACTGGAGCTACTGGAGGTGCTGGCGCTGCTGGTGGTGGTGCTGGTGCTGGAGCTACTGGAGGTGCTGCTGGTGCTGGAGCTGCTGGAGGTGCTGGAGGTGCTGCTGGCGCTGCTGGAGGTGCTGGAGGTGCTACTGGAGCTACTGGAGGTGGTGGCGCTGCTGGAGGTGGTGCTGGTGCTGGAGCTGCTGGAGGTGCTGCTGGTGCTGGAGACCCTAGGGCTGATGGTACCGGTTCTGTCTCTGCTGTTTTTGGAGTCGCTGCGCGGCCGCGGCCGTACTACGTTCCGCTCCTTCAGCAGGTTCTTGGCTCACCGCCTTCTCCTGGTCCTCCTCCTCCTTTCCTGAGTCCACCACCTGTCTAGTCTCAGTCGCAATTGCAGCCGGCCTCTCCCCTGCCTGGTCCTTCTCCTTACTCTGGTCTGACTAGAGGTCTTACGGAGCGTCGTGAGCCTGAGTCTCGTCTTGTGTCGCCTGCGTCTCGTTCTGCATCGCCTGTCCGCACTGTTCGCGCTGGTCGTGTTTCACGTCCGTGTCTTCCCCCTGTTCCAGGCACTCACTCTATGACACTGCGTCCTTCTACTGCTTCACAGCGTGTCCCTCTGCCCTCTCCTCCTGCGTCCTCTCTTCCTGACGGTCCGGACCCGGAGTCTGACTCCCTTCGTGCTGCTAGTCCTACTGTCACGCGCTTTCTGGCCACTGCTGTCACTGACCCTCTGTTTGAGTCCTCTGCTGCGTCTGCTCTTGTTGCTGAGCTTGTTGACTTTGCTGCAGCCTGTCGCCTAGACTACGCCACTAGTCTTGTTGCTGAGTCTGCGTCTGCGTCTGTCTGTCCTCCGTCCGTCGGGGGTGAGTGTGCTCTTGGCACGGACGTCCTTGAGGACAGGCAGGAGGACCTTGAGTGCTTTGCTGCTGCTTCACCTCATCTCGTGTCCATGCTGCTTGCCCCTGAGGGAGACCCGGATGCACTAGACATCCCGACCCCGCGCTCTTACGTAGAGGCGATAGAGGGTCCCTACTCCTCTCAGTGGCAGGCAGCCATGGACGCAGAGATGGCTTCCTGGAAGTCCACAGGCACCTACGTCGACGAGGTTCCCCCACCTGGGGCGAACATCGTCAGTGGCATGTGGATTTTCAGGGTGAAGCGGCCGCCGGGTTCTCCGCCTGTCTTCAAGGCGCGTTACGTGGCTCGAGGCTTTAGTCAGCGGCAGGGAGTTGACTACTTTCAGACCTTCTCCCCGACCCCGAAGATGACCACTCTTCGGGTACTGCTGCACGTTGCTGCTCAGCGTGACTACGAGCTCCACTCGCTTGACTTCAGCATAGCCTTCCTACAGGGCAGCCTGCACGAGGAGATCTGGCTGCGCCGCCCACCTAGCTTCACTGGGTCGTTTCCTGCTGGTACCCAGTGGAGCCTCCGGCGGCCAGTCTACGGTCTCCGCCAGGCGCCCCGTGAGTGGCACGACACGCTCAGGACGACTCTTGCTGCTCTTGGTTTTGCTCCTTCCACTGCTGACCCTTCTCTGTTTTTACGCACTGACGCTACTCTGCCGCCGTTCTACGTTCTTGTGTACGTAGACGACCTTGTCTTTGCTACTGCTGACACGGAGGCACTCGCCCACGTGAAGTCCGAGCTGCAGAAGAGACACACTTGCACAGACCTGGGTGAGCTGACAAGCTATCTTGGCTTGCGGATCACCCGGGACAGAGCACAGCGCACCATTACCTTGACTCAGTCACACATGGTGCAGCAGGTCCTTCAGCGCTTCGGCTTCACCTACTCCTCACCACAGTCCACTCCTCTGCCTACCGGTCACTCGCTCTCAGCTCCACCTTCGGACGAGTCCGTAGAGCCGAGTGGCCCGTATCTAGAGCTTGTGGGCTGCCTCATGTACCTGATGACTTGCACACGACCTGACCTCGCATACCCTCTCAGCCTTCTGGCTCGCTACGTGGCTCCCGGCAGGCACCGAAAGGTGCACTGGGATGCTGCGAAGAGGGTGTTGCGATACTTGTGCAGTACATCGGGCATGGGGCTCGTGCTTGGAGGATGGGCTCGAGTTGTCCTCACTGGTCACGCTGACGCCTCCTGGGTTGACGACTTGGCTACGCAGCGGTCGTCACAGGGTTACACCTTCAGCCTTGGCTCCGGTTCTGTCTCCTGGCGGTCTACCCGCTCTTCTTCTGTTCTCAGCTCCAGTTGTGAGGCTGAGATCTACGCTGGGGCGTAGTAGCTTCGCTGGCTCACCTACCTGCTGACTGACTTGGGAGAGGCGCCTCGTTCTCCTCCAGTTCTGTACGTCGACAACAAGGCCATGCTGGCCTTGTGTCAGGAGCACAGACTGGAGCACAGAACGAAGCACATTGCTCTGCGCTACTTCCTTGCTCGAGAGTTGCAGCAGCGTGGCCAGCTTCGTCTTGCTTACGTGGCCTCTCAGGCCAACACTGCTGATGTTTTCACCAAGGCACTTCAGCCTTGTGATCATCAGCGTTTCTGTACTGTGTTAGGCCTTGTACCTACTGTGCCTCACTTGTTGACTTCTTGACTCTGCTTGTACTGTACTATATATACCTAAACCTGCATGCTTACACTTGCTAGGTTGTGTTCACTGTATTGTTTGTTCTCCTATCTATAACTCTGCATGTGAACTGGCCTTGTGGCCATTTGCTTGTGCTCAACTGCGTGGTGACTTTGTGATCCACCCTGAGCTTGCTTTGCATTTCTTGACTGGTCTTGTGACCTCTTGTTCTCCCCCACTTTGCCTATGGGGGTGTGTCAAACTTATATCTACTATAGTCTATTTAGGCTGTAGTGGGGTAGTTCTTAGAGGGTACAACACTTATGTGTTTTCTACTTGTACCCATCTCATTTCTAGTTCATTCATTCTTTCGTCAATTATCTCACAACATATATGTCTTATATCTGGGCGATGACGGTACAACACCCCTGCATTTTGTTATACTTATATATAGCTTACATTGTGTAGGCTGTAGTGGGGTAGCCCATAAGGGGTACAACCCAATTAGGGTTAGTACTTCTACCCAACTCTCTGCTAGTTCATTCATTCTCGTTCACTCATTCTGACATGGTATCAGAGCAGGTCCCTTCTAGGACCGTTTTTTGGGCCCACCACCTGCTACCCTGCTAGCCACCCTCGCGACCAGTAGGCCCCCTAGGCCCCGGCCTGTCGCCCCTAGACTCGGCCCCTTGGCCCCGTCGCCCCTAGCCACAGCCCCTCGGCCCCATCGCCCCTAGCCGCGACCCCTCGGCCCCCGTCGCCCCGTCGCCCCTAACTGCGACCCGTCGCCCCGTTGCCCCTAGTCGCGGCCTCGTCGCCCCTAGCCTCGGCCCCGTGGCCCCTCGCGAAACGTCGCCCCTAACCGCGGCCCCTCGGCCCCGTCGCCCCTAGCCGCGACCCCTCGCCCCGTCGCCCCTAGTCGCGGCCCCGTCGCCTCTAGCCTCGGCCCCCTCGGCCCCGTCGCCCCTAGCCGCGGCCCCTCGTGACCCGTCGCCCCGTCGCCCCTAGCCGCGGCCCCTCGCGACCTGTCGCCCCGTCGCCCCTAGCTACGGCCCCTCGGCCCCGCCGCCCCTAGTCGCGGCCCCTCGCGACCCGTCGCCCCACCGCCCCTAGCTGCGGCCCCTCGGCCCTGTCGCCGCTAGCCGCGGCCCCTCGCGACCCGTCGCCCCGTCGCCCCTAGCTACGGCCCCTCGGCCCCATCGCCCCTAGCTGCGGCCCCTCGGCCCCGTCACCCCTAGCCGCGGCCCCTCGCGACCCGTCGCCCCGTCACCCCTAGCCTCGGCCCCTAGGCCCCTCGGCACCTCTTCGCGTTTGGCCCCTCGGCCCCTCTTCGCGTTTGGCCCCTCGGCCCCTAGGCTACACGGCCCCTCGGCCCCTTCACCTCGGCACCTCGGCCCCTTGGCCCCTAGGCCCCGAGCCCCTCGGCCCCTTGGCCCTTCGTATTTGGCCCCTTGGCCCCTAGACCTCAGGCCCCTCGGCCCCTTCACCTCGGCACCTCGGCCCCTTGGCCCCTAGGCCCCAGGCCCCTCGGCCCCTTGGCCCTTCGTGTTTGGCCCCTCGGCCCCTAGACCTCAGGCACCTCGGCCCCTCGGCCCCTTGGCCCCTAAGCCCCAGGCCCCTCGGCCCCTTGGCCCTTTGTGTTTGGCCCCTCGGCCCCTAGACCTCAGGCCCCTCCGCCCCCTCGACCTCGGCCCCTCGGCCCCTTGGCCCCTAGGCCCCAGCCCCCCCCTCGGCCCCGTCACCCCTAGCCTTGGCCCCTAGGCCCCCCGGCACCTTGGCCCCTTGGCCCCTTAGGCCCCTAGGCCCCCGGCCCCTGCTACTTCTACTGCTGCTACTGCTACTACTGCTGCTGCTCCTGCTGCTACTGCTGCTATTGCTACTGCTGCTCCTGCATACTGTGCCACTATGGCTTCGCTTAGGGTTCTCGGGTTCGATCATGAGGGCAGACCGGTTCAGTTTGACATGTGGCTCGATGACCTGCAGCTGTACCTACTAAGCGATTCGAAGGACAGTGTGTCGCTGTTTGACCTCGCATCAGGTGCCGCTACTGCCCCTCCCGCCACAGCTGACAGTGCGACTCGCTTACAGTGGCTTACGCGCGACGCTGCTGCCCACTTAGCCATTTGCAACCACCTGCCGTTAGCCGAATGCGCTCACTTCGGACAACACAGGACAGCCCAGGCCCTGTACGACGCTGTCGTCACTCGCTACTCCTCGCCTGCCACTGCTGCGCTAGGCAGACTGATGCTGCCCTACCTGTTCCCCAAGCTATCCGCTTTTGCCACAGTAGAGGACCTGGTTTCCCACCTGCGCGCTAGCGACGCTCTCTACCGCGCTGCCCTCCTGGCCGACTTCCTTGCCGGGAACCCGCCCCCGATGTACATCACTCTCTACTTCGTAGTCACTCGCCTCCCTGACTCCCTTCGCTCTGTCAGGGACCACTTTCTCTCCCTTGACCCCACCTCCCTCACTGTTGACCTCCTCGAGCAGCATCTCCTCGCAGCTGAGACTAGTGCAGCTGCTGAAGGTGCTGCTCGTGGCACTCCGCGGCCGCCCTTCTTTGAGGGGTGCTCCCCCTCCCCCCTTGCCCCCTCCTATGCCTCTGCTGCTGCTGCAGACGTCTCTGTTGCTGAGAACGTCGGGGCTGCTTCTGCTAGTGCGAAGCGCCGCAGCAGCAAGGGCAAGGGTGGCAGGGGTGGTGGAGGTGGCAGCGAAGGTGGTGGAGGTGGCAGCGGGAGTGGTGGTGGGGGCAGCAGTGGAGGTAGTGGAGGCAGTGGAGGTGGTGGCGGCGGTGGGACTGGTGGCGGGAGTGGGGGCTCTGGTGGCGGCGGTGGAGGCAGTGGTGGCAGTGGAGGCGGTGGGACTGGAGGCGGTAGGACTCGACCTCGGCATGGAGGCCCTGGTGGTGGCCAGCAGCAGCAGCAGCGTCGGAGCGAGACCCAGTCGCCCCAGCAGCTCCGTGAGAGGTTGTTTCAGCGTGGTACGTCTGGGGGTAGTGAGAGCTTCCTGTATGTCATTCGCACGGGTGCTCGTGCTGGTCAGACATGCGGGAAGCTTCACACTTAGCACCGCTGCTTCTCCCGCCTCGACGACGCTTGGCGTGCTGAGTTTGGTGACGACGTCGAGCTCCCTCGCTGGGCAGATCTACTTAGGTCTGGAGTTGCTATCTTTGACCTTGACTATGATGCTATTCTTTCTGCTATGTATGCTTTGTCTGCTAGTGCTGAGGGTGACTGTTACCGGTGTGTGCCACCTGACCCATGTATAGCGGCTGCTGCTCTAGGTGCTAGTGAGTCTGGTACTCCCCCTTGTACTGCCCTGCTCAGGCCTTCCACACCTTCATGCTGGACTCAGGTGCCTCACAGTGTTTCTTTCGTGACAGCACCACTCTCACTCCTCTCCCTGCACCTGTCCCAGCCAGACTGGCTGACCCCTCCGGGGGCCCGATCGTGGCCCGTTCCTCCACTGTCCTCCCATGTCCGGCGGTTCCGTCCGGCTCCTTGTCAGGTCTTCACCTCCCCTCGTTCTCTACGAACTTGGTGAGTACCGTTGCCCTCCAGGATGCGATGGTCACTACCACCACTCCAGGGGGTCAGCGTGTGTCGATCTGCACGTGCACACGGACGGGGCATCACCTGGCCACGTTCACTCGTCGGCCAGGGTCGAGTCTGTACACATTCGCTACCGAGCCTCCTCAGGTAGCTGCGTCTGCTCAGGTGTCCGCGTCAGGTCAGGTAGCCGCCTCTTGCTCGTGTCGCCTCCTGTCGCACCAGACTCTTCTGTGGCACCACCGCCTGGGTCACCCCTCCCTGCCACGCCTTCGTGGCATGCACTCCCGTCTCCTTGTCTCTGGTCTTCCCAGGTCTCTGCCTCCCTTACCGCCCTCGCCTGCCCCGCCCTGCCTTCCTTGCGTCGAGGGGCGGCAGCGCGCCGCTCCTCACTCCTCCTCATTTCCCCCGACGATAGCTCCCCTGCAGACTCTCCACATGAACGTGTGGGGCCCAGCCCACGTCAGTGGACAGGGCTGCAAGCGCTACTTTCTGCTGGTAGTTGACGACTACACGCGGTACACCACGGTCTTCCCCTTGCGCAGCAAGGGTGAGGTCGTTGATGTCTTGATCCCTTGGATCCGCACAGTCCATCTCCAGCTCCGCGAGCGGTTCTGCCAGGACCTTCCTGTCCTGCGTCTCCACTCTGACAGAGGTGGTGAGTTCTCCTCCGACCTCATGCGGGACTTTTGTCATGGGGAGGGCATTCTCCAGTCGTTCACGCTTCCAGACTCCCCTCAGCAAAATGGGATTGTTGAGCGCCGCATTGGCTTAGTCATGGAGGTCGCTCGTACCTCCATGATCCATGCGGCTGCTCCCCATTTTCTGTGGCCGTTTGCGGTCCGGTACGCTGCGCATCAGCTCAACCTCTGGCCCCGTGTCTCCTTGCCAGAGACCTCGCCCACACTGCGTTGGACGGGGAAGGTTGGCAATGCGTCGATGTTCTGGGTCTGGGGTTCTCGTGCCTTTGTTCGCGATACGTCCGCAAACAAGCTCTCCGCCCGTGCTATCCCATGCGTCTTCCTTGGCTTTGTCCCTGACGCGCCTGGCTGGCAGTTTTACCACCCCACCTCGCGCCGTGTCTTCCCCTCTTAGGACGTCACGTTTGACAAGTCGGTGCCCTTCTACCGTCTCTTCCCCTACCACTCTGCCCCTCCCCCGCCC